GCCACTGGTGCGCAGAAACTCAAAAGACTGTCTATAAATTGCTTCTCCCGTGAATGACACCTGCCTCCTTTAAACTAGAAGAAGCAGTAAATTCAGGTGGCAACCTTTTGTCTAAGAAAAATGGTGTTAAGTGTGTGGAAGCGGCCAAAACATTTATATTCAGCCCGCAGTTTATTGTTTATTGTCTTTATTTATCTTTAGCTCCATGCAGGGACTCCTAATGGTGCCATGTGACTCACATGACGATTTTCGCCAACAAGTCCTTCGCCTTTCTCCTTCAAATCACCACAGAATATAAATAAGCGTCCCCTGTAATTAGTTTACTATCACTAAGCGCAGGCTGTTAGCCCTGAAATGTGGCACGTCTATTTTTTTTTCAATTTTTCTTTCCTTTGTGGCACTAACAACTGTGATTGATCGTCTATCCCTGGCAGGGGAATCGACAAGGCGAACTTGTTGGCGTGCATTTTAATGTGCGAGCCCATGTGTGTTGAGTTTCGTGCGTACATGTTCGCTAATGCGTTTTGTTTCGTGCCTTCTTCTCGTGTCTGCGTGGTTCCGCGGTTCGTGTCCATTAAGGAGATCTCATTAATCACACTAGTCGCTGACCCCGTCTCTTCACCTCATATTTCTACTCAGTCATCCACAAACAAGGTACTCTGTCAAAGACTTCAAAGTCACTTACATTCCACCCCTATCATTCCCAAGCCACAGCCAGGGTGCTTTCTAAACTGCTCCAAGCCTTTACATGGACAGTAACAGAGCATTGTCCTTGTGAAGAAATTTTGGAGGGGAATCTACAGCGTGTCAGCAAAGCAAATTGGCTGATTGTGAAGGGTAGTAGAACGCACCCATGTGTTTCCGTGGGGGTTAGTGTAGGTTTGTGTGTGTTCAGCCTGATTCAGGCTCCAAACAGATGAAGAGGGGACGAAGCCTGCTGGTGTGTAATGTATCACTGTCTGCCCCCTACCCACTCAAACACATATGTTCGCGCGCAAACGCCCACACGGCCAGACAGGCACAACGTGACCCCCAGCGCCCCGATCCAGAGAGAGATGTCTGCTGCCTGACAGTGTGTCAGCAGGCCCAGATAAACTCAGCCGCCAGCTTTTCACAAAGCTTGTCCTCCCTCCTGCTGACCGGCGAGATGCTTCCACACCGCTGACCATGTGACCTCACCTTCCCCGAGTCCTTTGCGCAGCCTGCTAAGCACTGCTGTATCTCATAAATGAGCCGTCACACTACGGCTTATGTTGCTGGACACACACACTCTTGACTGGGATGAATTTAAAGCTGCGCAGAAGAGGTTTTATGTGCACAAAGGTTTAAAGGACTGTGCGTTTTACATGTAAGGTGTGAGACGGAGAGCAAAACAGACCGAGTGAATATTAGAGTTAGATTTGTCAGGTGGCCAGAGACATAACGTCAACTTAGTGCAAATTTACAGTACTAATGAAAAGCATTCACCTCCCTTTGAAGTTTGCCCTTCAGCGTTTAATCCTGGTTGAGATCATTTTTAACGAAATTTACAACAAAAAACTCATTCATGCCAAAGTGAAAACATATCTCTACAAAGTAATGCCAATGAACTAAAAATATGTACTGTGAAATAAGTGTTCACCACCTTTAAAGTGACTCATCAAATTGAACACAAAGGTGCAGCCAGCTGGTGCTAGAAGTCACACGATTAGTGGAATGGAGATCATCTGAGCGCAGTAAATGTGTCTCAGCGATTGTAATATAAAGACGCATGTATCTGGAAGGTCCAGTCGCTGGTGAATCGTGGAGGAAGACAAAAGAACATGCCGAGCCTCTACGTGAAAAGGTTATTGGAAAGCATAGGTCAGGGGGATGAACACAAGGAACTTTCCAAGTCGCTGGATATTCCTTGGAGTACAATTAAATCCCATCATTAAGGAATGGAGGGAAAAGGGCACTTGTGCAAATCTGCCCCAGAGCAGGTCGTCTTCAAAAACTGTGTGACCCAGCAAGTAGGAGACGAGTGAGAGAGGCCACCAAGACACCTATGACTACTCTCAAGGACTTCAGCGGGCTGTAATAAGAGACTACAATAAGTGTTGCCTGAGTTCTTCACGAGTTAAAGCTTTATGGAGAGTGGCAAAGAGAAAGACACTGTTGAAAAAAGTTTAAATTAAATCTTGAGTTCACCCAAAGGCATGTAGGAGACTTTGAGTTACATGGAAAAAGATCTTTTTTTTTAGCGTGATGAGAACTAAATTGAGCCTTGTAGCCATTAGACTAGATGCCATGTTCTTCACATAATGACAATCACACCACCCCCGACGTGAAGCATGGGGGTGGCAGCATCATGACGTGGGAACGCTTCTCGGCAGCAGTCCCTGGAAGGCTTGGAAAGATAAATCCTGGAGGTCGACCTGATGCAGTGTGCAGGAGAACTGTGACTTGGGAGACGATTTGTTTTCCAAGACAATCACCTAAAGTTACACCGAAATAGTTTATAGACAACAAGGTGGATGTTCTGGAGTGGCCGAGCCGAGACCTCAGTTCAATCGAGAATTTGTAGCTGGACTTGAAAAGGGCTGTTCACTCACCGTTCCTCTGTAACAGCACAGAGCTTGAGAAGTTTTGCAAAGAAAAGTGGGGTAAAATTGCAGTGTCGAGATGCGCGAGGCTAATTGAGACCCATCGATGCTGTCACTGCGGCAAAAGGTGCATTTATTAAATACTGATTTATTTGCAATTAATTGACTTTGTAAACATCTGTTTTCACTTTGGCATGAAAGAGTCATTTTTTTTGCAAACCCCTGGCAATGAAAAGCCAAATTATATTGACCATGATTCAATATTGAAAAGCAGGGCCGGCCCTGAACAATTTGGTGCCCTAGGCAAGATTGTAGTTTGCGCCCTCTAGCATCACAGTGAATTTCACTCCTAATTTTCATACAGTAACACAAACTGTATGCATGTATTCAAGCTTTTATTTAAGTACAAACAACACACTAAATGAAACTGAAGAAACAAGTCTTTGTGACACTCCCTGGCTAACTGACGTGTATTCAGGCAAATATTTAACCACAAGCGCCGATGCGGGTCCTCTACCGTGGTCTTCAGACGTTAGCGAAGACGGTTCACTAACGTCTTTGCTGCTAACGTTAGCAGCTAAGACGCTAATGTAACGTCTTTGCTCCGAACGTTAGCAGCTAAGACGCTAACGTAATGTCTTTGCTTTGAACGTTAGCTGCTAAGACGCTAATGTCTTCGCTGCTAGCGTTAGCACCTAAGACGCTAACGTACCATCTTTACTGGTAAAGGTAGACAAACTGCATCGGCGCTTGTTAACAAATACTTGCCTGAATACATGTCAGTTAGCCTGGCAAGCTTGTGGCGCCCCCCGGTGGATGTCGGCGCCCTTAGCATTTGCCTATACTGCCTATGCCTAGGGCCGGCTCTGTTGAAAAGTAATCAAAGGGGAAAACTTCTTACTATATTCTACTTGTATGTGCAAATAACCTAAAATATGTGTCGCGTATATGTGGATATACATACTGTGTCATTTACATTTTTATTTATTTATTTTTTTTACAGATTGCTACACTGACTAACAATCAATTAACACTTATTTTAGAGTTGTTTTCTGCATACTATAGTCATTTCTCTTGAATTACAAAAGCACATTTTCACACTGTTTTTGGTAAGGAGCTATGTGTTGATCCAAAACAGTGAAACTCAATATGAACGTCCCCACAGTTCAGCGCTTTAAACATTGAAAATGACAATAAAAAAATCAACAGCAACATCCCTTTTCGGTGTAGCTGCCACTTTTACTTGCTTTTCATGACTAATTCTTCAGTGGACACCACCTGAAAATTGCCTAGAGCACCCTTTGACATATTTTCTCCCAGCCTCTCCTTGGTTCTTTATTATTCACTACTTTACTCCCTCTCTATCTATCTCATGCACACACCTACCTACCTCCAGTCACCTCCAGCGGGAAGCAGAATTGGGCTGTCTGTCAAATCGACAACCTTAAAAGGGCACACAACCCTGTAGGAGATATTAATGAATGAAATACAGCACTGACACAAACACACAAACACACACAGACACACACACAAAGTACAAAATCTGCCTCAGCTGAGACGGCCCAACATCCACCGAAGCAGCTGTTCTGCATCACCTGCATCTATTTTGGACACACGCGACTTCCCCGCCCTTCAAACTGACTGTTAGTTTTTTAATTTAGCCCCGTGCACTCGGGAAGCGTTCAGACGAGGAGGGGACGAGGTGTCGGGGGCGATGAGGTTGGCATCCACCTTGTCAGCGCGCGTTAATCAGCACACACCTGCCTCAATAAATATAGATTTTGCTTGGAAACTACGCATTGACTTTTCATATTTTAAAAAACAGCGCCGCCCCGCTATCCTCATTAAAATTGAACAGATTATCCAAATTACTCTGATCTGCGACGGATTAGAGAGTCAAGAGCATTGTTTCCTGTCTTGCACTGTCACGGCAGAAAATCTGGCACCCGCACTCGGTCCTGACAGCGTATCCAGTATCTGGTTCTTTCCATTTTTTTCCTGTCATTCCTCTCCTCCTGTGTGTGTCCCCTTGACTTTATCCTTGACTTATTGCTTTGATAATGAAGCCAAGAGATAAACATCTCCCATTGTTCACTGTTATTCTAATAAGGCGATGATTCTCATTACTTGGATTTTGTGTGTGTGTGTGTGTGTGTGTGTGTGTTTGCATGAGTACAGTATGTTTTCTGACCTTGGCAACATCCACATACTACTCATGAGAGCCAATATTGGCAGAGTGAAACAGACACAGCTTTCCCTTTTTTTTTTTTTTTTTTTCAAAAAGAATTAATTAAAAAAAAAAAAAAAGATCATCCGTCTGTTTCGCTGCTGTTTATTTGTGCATGTCGCCTTGATATTGATGTGGATGCAAATTAGTTTTCACTCATTCCGTATGCAATCCCTGAATATTTGCAAGTTTTTTTTTTTTTTTTGCAGGAGATGTTCACGCCGGAGTGTAAGTTCAAGGAGTCGGTTTTCGAGAACTACTACGTGATCTACTCGTCCACTGTGTACCGGCAGCAGGAGTCAGGACGGGCCTGGTTCCTTGGCCTCACCAAGGAGGGGCAAGTCATGAAGGGCAACCGGGTCAAGAAGACTAAGCCCTCATCACACTTTGTGCCCAGGCCCATTGAAGGTATGAGAAATGTTTTTGGAACAACTTTGACAGCGATCTTTTTAATGCTCATTAAGTTGGACAGCATTCCTGAAAAATTATGATTTTGCATCCATTTAATGACAATATGGTGAAATCAATACTTAGCTACTACAAAGAGTAGAATGTATATATGTGTCTATCCATCTTTGCACAACTGTTTGTTGGTTTTAAGGCGGCGCTCCACCAGTGCCAGTCCGCCAGTAACAAAAAAGGTCTATAATGACTTCTCTGGCTTTGCTAGAGTTTTCCAAAGTTTAAAAAAAAAAGGAACATTTTTCAAACTTTTAAATTCTGGTTGGCCTGAGACCTGAAAGGTGTAATGAAAGATAATATTGAGTCGTATTATGGGAAAGTTGGCTCAAGTGGTTTCGGAGCTTGACCCGTGCTGCACAGTAAAAAGCATCTGCTGTTTCATTTTCAGCCATTGCTTTTCAAATGTGTCTCTTGTGAGCGTTCCAGCTTCATGAAGGTGCGACACTACGCTGAACAAAAATATGAACGCAGCATGAAAAAGTTAAAAGCGTGACCGGTACACAGGCTTGGACCGGTGACTATAAAAGGTCACCTTAAAATGCAGCTTTATTCAAATGAGACAAGACAAGAACGGGCTGCTGGCAGTCAGCTTGGGCCGTAGCCGGACGCTTCAATGTCCGCGACTCCATTTGTCATCTGAGAAATAGTTTTAGACATCTTTGGATGGACAATGTCTGACAATGTGATTCTGTGCCCAAGAATGTCTGCCAACTTCTCTGAGTGCTTCAGAAAGAGTCGGACAACATTTAACTTGCCAACATCTTTACATCTGTGCGTTGCAGATGTGTGGCACTACACAATTTACCTTGTGATGTATTGCCTCACTCTCCATCTGCCTTTTATCATTTCTAATATAGTGCATATTGTTTCATGATGACGTTCTGTTGTCAGGATGCTGTGTGTCGGAACAACAAATATTTAAATATTAAAAAGATTGAATACAATTTAAGAAAATATTACATACTGCGTTTATGTTTTTGTTCAGTATAAATCAATGCAGTACCTCTTTAAAAACTAAGATATAAGGCTGCATTGAGATTTGGCCTTTGAAAAGCATTACACTCACAAGTGATGCTGTAAAAAAATAAAAAATAAAAAATACAAATGGTAAAATGGCAGTAATGGTGCCAGATGCCAAAACACATTAAAAAAAAAAAAAAGGTGAAATACAGTAATGTACAAAAACTAAAAAAACAGGGACAATAACAATAAAAATGTAAAATAATGGTATTTTTTTAAGCAGATGTAAATACAGAAAAACTGTGAACTGTCATACATTATAAAAGAATGAATTACTATTCATAAAAATATAGATTTTTGATGTTGACATTATTTACCTGTTTGGCCCTTCTTCTTCTTCTTCAAATTTGTTAGACCCCTACCCAATATAAGGATTTTTAAAAAACTGTTTCTTTATTAAGAATTTTTTATTAAGAATTATTTTTATATTTTATATATGTAATATTTATATTTTATATTTATATTTTATTATAAGAACAATTTTTATTAAGAATTGTTTAGTTAATTTATTGAGTTTCCCTTCTGGGATAAATAAAGTATTTTTCATTTCTATAATGGTTAATACACCATCATGTAGATGCTCTTTAACCAAATTTATACTTTTAATGCTAAAATATAATTATTATTGTTGTCCATAAATTTTCAGATTGACTGTTTTATAAAAAAAAGAAAGAAAATGTAGTAAAGCACAGTATTATTTCTTGATTAAGATGTCAAATTCTAGTTATTTACTTGCATTTCTGAACAGAAAAAGTAGTTTTAGTGGTTGAATGTTACACTTGATTCATTTCTGACTTCTCAGAGAAGCCCGGTTGCTCAAATTTGGGTATAAGAAGGTGAATTCAGTTTAAAAATCCACATTCCTGATGAAAATGGTAAAACGACGAGAGCTGAGTGGCATTAAAGCACTTCATGAAGCTGGATGGTCTCTCTCTCTCCCTCTCTCTCTCTCTATATATATACATATATATATACATATAAAGTGCTATATGTGATATGTTTAGCACGGTAAATAAACATTTTTTTCTGTGACTTCAATATGTATTATCTGTAATTTAAGCAACACAGTAAAAATCTGTAAAATAACAGTTTTTTTTGTTAAAAAGCTAATATTCATTCAACCGACTCTACTTTTCAAGTATCAGGCTAAAGAAGCTCTTTCCCTTTTGTTCAGCTGTTGTGGTTGCACATTTATTTTGAACCTCTTATATGTTTCTTGTGGGAGCGCACTAATATCTGATAGATATTATCGTGAAAACTTGTCCAGCAGTGTGATAAAAAAAAAAGTGCTGACATTGCCCTAATTCCCTTGTCTTATCCCTCTCAGCCTGGTATAATTGTCCCAGCCTCACTCCTGACCTTGTCTCTGTCTGTGCATCCATCTCTTCAATCTGCTCTCCATTGTCCTCTTTCTGAGCTCCTCCTCTCTTTGTCCTCTCCTCTTCCTCTCCCTCCGTCGCTTTCCCTCTCTCTCTCTCTCCTTTGCATCTCTGCCCACACAGTTTGTATGTACAGGGAGCCGTCACTGCATGAGATAGAGGACAAGCACCGCTCCAGGAAGAGCTCAGGGACTCCCACCATGAACGGAGGGAAAGCTGTCAATCAGGACTCCACATAGCACTGGGGGGAGGGGCTTCCAGCAAGGGGGGGCGTGGCCTCATCCTGACTCAGGGGAAGGGGCCATAGGAAAACTCGCCGCCCCCCCCACCCCCTCGATATACGCACCACCATGCCCTCTGAAACAACCGGAGGGTGTTGCGACGACAACAAGGAGCTATTACTGTACAACCCAAGACAACAAAAAACTGAACTCTTGCCTGTGAAAACCTTTTAGATGAATTAATATGAAACCAGAGGATATATATGAAGAAAAATCATTTTCAATCAGGACTTGACCAACATTTTATGCAAAAAAAAAAAGAACAAAAAAAAAAAGAAGAAAAAGCTGTGATAAACAAACAAAGGAATGGTGGTCTCCCTTCACACAAATACAAATATCTGTCATTTTCAATTTATGCTGTGAAAAACAAGCTTTAATACATGTTCAATTTTCATACACTGAGGTTTTTTTTTGTTTGTTGTTGTTGCTGTTTTGTTTTTTTTCTTCTTTTTTTCTAAATGCTATTGCACTCTCATATGCTTTGTTGTGTTATTGTTGTCGGTAATAACTATACCATCGTCATTATAATCCTCATGACTAATCCGTTGATCTTATCATCCCAGTTACTATCACGGTTATTCTGGCTTTCTTTTTGTTTGTGAGACTAAAAGGAAGTGTTTTTTTTTTAATTGCTCATGTTTTTTTTTTTTTTTTCTCTCACAGTTTGATCTTGAATGCACTGTCACGCCACTTTATTCTGGTGTGAAGGTAAAAAAACAAAAAATGAAAGTATCGATAGTTCTCTATGTTAGACTCCAGTTGAAAAAGAGTGCTAAGGGTGGGATGTAATTTACTCAGGTGTGTACTGTAAGTTAGACTAATGTGACTAATAGGACACAAACTCCCCTATGTTGGTCCTGCTGCTGTGGCAGGACGGGACTGATACAAGCAATATAATAGAGAGCCGCCTAGTAAGTCTCTAAATAACACTAATAACGAGCTGACGAGACACCGCCGAGGTCGGTGTGTTAGTCAGTGGAAAAGACTGACAAAGAAAGTTGCGTAGGTTGGCAAAAGTTGGAATCAAAGGAAACCTTTCGATAAAGCTTCAGCGTAATCTTTAACATTTGCAAGGATTATTAGGTTAGAAGCAAAGAGATGTCCGTACTTGTCTGAAATGACAACGAATAGTACTCTCTCCAGAAGCTGAGAGGACGATAATGACCAGCATCAGCACTACGAGCCATGGCCGAAAACGGTCACCTCACGTTTGCACCTCAAGAAACACAGACCCCTTTCTCTGCTGTTAGCTATAACGACAACTCTCAAAATATAACTATATACCAGTATTCATGCTTTTGAACTATACAGACAAATCATGAAGTAATCTTTGATTAAAGACTTCTGCTGTTTTTCTAAGCGAGAGAATGAAACGGACGTTGTATCTGGCAGGCCTAGCGGCGGCGGCGGCGGCGGAGGGTTGTGTTGACCGATTTTCAATACGTTCTACTGTTTCTGTTACTTTTATTGTGAAATCATTAGTGGGTTTTCAACACTGGTGGACAGGGTGCCTGACTGTTTAATAAACCACTGACCTGACATGTGGATGTTTTCAATGTAAGGTCGCAATCATTTGGGCTTTCCCGTCACAATGGAAGCAGAATGTTTCATTGAGGAGCCAGTTCATCTGGACTTAGCCAGGTCTGAGGAGGATGTCTTACCAATCTGGGTGAGGTGTATCTCACAAATTGTTTTTTTTTTTTTTTTTCTGAAATGGTAACGCATACACTCTCCATCCCTCCTGGTTTTGTGACCCATGAAATGAGCCATTTAGCTGCATTGTGGAGGAAAGCTTCTCTTTCATAAATCAACATACTGACAGGGCTGTATAAACAAGGTTAATTGACTGGTACACCACATACGCCGTGTGCGCTGCTGAGCTCATTCCTAATCCCCAATTAGTTTGTCTAACTCAGGAAGTCCTATAGTTGTTCCATGAATGGGGCCAGACATGAAGGCTGGCCGCTCATTTGTCCAGCGCTCGTTGCACAAAGGCTGGCACCGGTGTGGTGTTTGAGGATTGGGGTCGATGGCGTTTTTAATCATTAAAGGTGGTACACAGCTAAGCCGAGCCAGCTGAAGGAAGCTGAAAAGGGAACCAGGCGAGACAAAGCATGGCCATAGCATGACTGTAAAAGTTGTTTGGTTTGTGGTGAGATCTAATACGAGTCTTGAATTTGGGGAGGAAACTTTTTTATGCAACGTTTTGATCAGTATTTTAGCGAGAGTTTATACACCTCTCCTATACCTGGTTGGAAACCATACGCTAGGTTGGTGGTATGTACAGTAAATAGCACACATTCAGTTGCACAGAGCAAACCGCAGTGATGTACCATCATGGATCTGGAAGGTTCTTCCACCTCTGGCCCGGGTCCACAGCTGATGCAAGTTATCTGCAAGAGCTAATGGTAGATTAGTTCAACTTCCACAGCACCTAGTGCGCAACAGTGATACATACAGTATATTAGACGTGGCACTGAGAGTCAACCGGCAAGACCAGCATACGAATATCTTTTTACAGAGGTTTATATTGGTGCAAATGAGGTACATGTGGACTTAAAGCAATGCATGAAATTGGATGTACTCAATGTCAACTGTTGACAGCAGAATGGAAGGATTTGAAAAGGAAACGTATAAAGCGAGGAGGTAAAAATAGCTGACGTGAGAGAGCAGTAAAGCAAAGCACTTTTTAATGTGGGTTTATTGATGTATGAAAGGTTGAGCGAAGGCTTTGGTTGTATGAGATATTAAATATGATTTAATATTTTTATGTTTGCAGATGATTTCACTGCATTGGAACACGCTCATATATGCATTATGAATTGTGAGATGACATACAAAAAAAAGAAAAAAATATGCATTGATAATAAAAATCAGAATGAAGTTAGTGATTGTTTAAGAATAAAGACTATGTTATCAAAAAAAAAAAACAACCAACAACTTTCACCGACGCAGTGATTGATTCAATGTGTTGTGGATCACGGCTGACTTTTTTTTTTTCTTTTTTTTTATTAATGTCACTCTTTACGACGACAAGAAGAGAAGCAGCAGAATAAGCAGACAAACAAATCCATCAATTTGTGTCGTTACGTGCTTCAAATTCGGAAAGTGCAGTCCGTTTCCTCTATCGCTCACCCGGAGTGATTTATCTCCTCACTAGCCCCTAAATCCGATGTGTCATTTTGGGATGGCGCTCCTTCGCCCTTAATTCTCCTGTTGTCATGGAAACAGACCTTCCGTGCCGTCTGCAAGGAGAATGAGGAGGAGGAAGAGGAGGAGGAGGAGGATGAAGGCTCCCTTGACTTTCAGGACGTGGCTTGTATTCTCTCCTGCGTGATGGCTGCAGCACAGAGCAGTATTGGGGGGTAGGGGGGAGATATATATATATATTTATTTTTTTCTATCTCTTCTATTTTGGTGTTTCCTTCAGTTACAGTAAACGGCTGAGGAGAGAGCAGGCCTGTAACCTGGGGGGACAATATGTACTCACAATAAGATACAGAAAGCGAGAACAAAACGATTGAGAGAAAGAAGTTTGAGGTGAAAGAAACTACTTTTTCCATCCTCCCCCCCCACAAATCTACTGTTATACACACTTGCTCACACACACCAAGTCAGTCATTGTAATTTATCCAGTGTATTGATTCATCTGTACTTTAAAGAAAGCTCCGGCATATACATTAATTGAAAGTGTCTTCGATGGAAAAAGTCTTCGGCCGTGCTAGTGTCTCCAGGAAAGTGTTAAATGCTGATGTTTGCATCGGGCTCACAGTCCCGATTCATAACCCGCATGTCTACCAGGTGGCACCATCTTAGTCTGCTGTGATAGTATCCCCCAACCACGGAATGCAGCAGAGGCTGATAAGAATGACAAGTTTTGTAAATATTACACGAATTGACTCGATGATGGAGCTCGATTAAAAGTTAGGCGGACGTCTGAGCCGAAAGCTGCCGAAACATTTCATGCAAAACCGCAGATATCAACCTCATGGCAGCGCTACAGAAGAAGCCATTGGCAAGTCAGTCAGTCAGTCAGTCAGTCAGGTTGACTGTGTGGAAATGATTAATGTCCTGTGTCAATCCACCCAGCAGAAGCTCAGATATTTATTAAGATAAGTGAAAACTCGTGGCAGAAAATTCAGGGGATCTGAACTCTGTCAAAATCGTCCCCTAGCGTGAAGCCTTATCCTTCAGCCGAGGAAAGACAAAGAAATGTCATTAAAATTACAAATATGTAAACCTGCTGGAGGTGCTAGACGGCTGATTCATCTGCTGGGGGACAATAAAAATATGTACAAACCTTCATGACCCAACAGAAGTTTCCCTTTTAAGTCTGGAAATATAGTAGTCTGTCCTGCTAACATGTTAGCTTCTCGGTAAAGACCTCTAAAAAAATTAACTATACTTTAATTAAATGATGACAAAAACACAGGACGAGCTACAGTGGTTGCCTTAGGATTGAGTTTTTCCATGAAAATGAGTAATTCAAAATACGCTAGCCGTTCCGAGCTGCAAGGTGGCGCAGTTGGTTAGCACTGTTGCCTCGCAGGAAGAAATTCGCCGGTTTGCGATCTTTCTGTGTGGAGTCTCCATGTTCTCCCCGTGCAGCGTGGGTTCTCTCCGGGTTCTCCGGCTTCCTCCCACGAGTCCAAAAACATGTTGAGGTTAATTGGTGATTCTAAATTGACCCTAGTGAGGACTAAGTGGTGTATAGATAATGGATGGGTGGATGTTAGCCATTCCAAGCTAATGTAAGCTAGGCTAATGTTAGCTTTTTTGACAAATGATTGCTAACCAATGTTATTGCCATAATTTCTGCCCCAATAACCGGGGTTGACGTAACTGGTAAATACAGGTAATTCTAACACCAATACGTTGACAGGAGCGTAGATGATCGTTATTTTGAAAATAACGGTTACTTGACAATTTCACAGAAACTCTAAAGGTGGGAGCCTGTC